AGAGAAATGCAGATTAAAACAATTCATGGATTTCATCTCATGTCTATCAAAGGGGTCAAGAGAGAAAAAAAATTGTTGAGTTGTTAGACAACAGGCACAAATTACACAGTTGGTAGAAATATAAACGAGTCCAGTCTTTTGGGGAAAAAATTAAAATTATATGATAAATGACAAGAAATTAAAGCTATGTATTATCTTTACAGATGACTTCACCTACTCCTGAATCTTCTATTACCACTGCTAAGCATATGATTCTTCCCAAATACATATATCTTGTCTCCATCTCTCTCCTGAGCTTGAGTCCTCCATCTTCAACTTCCAGCAGAATCTCTCCACCTGGATGCTCTGCCAAAATGTTGAACTCAGCTAGTCAAAAGGAATTATCATCCCCCCTTCAAAAAACAAAGTGGCTCTTTTTCCAACTTCCCTGTTTCTGTTGATGGTCCCTCAATCCTTCCTATTACCCAGTCTAGAAACTTTTCTCTTTCACTATTTCGTCTCTTAGTCCTCTGTATCCACTCATTTGCTTATTCTGCCTCCATTATTTTCTTCTTTCTCTTCACTTACATAGTCAGAATATTTCAGGACCTCATCATCTCTCATCTAGTTCATAGCATCATAGAATTTTAGAGCTGGAAAGAGTCTGAGAGTTCATATAGTTTCATCTCCACATTTCACACAGGATAGACTCTTAATGGGCCTATTTATTTTCAATCTCTCCCACTCTTCTATGAATTTTTCTCAGTTGCCAAAATAAACTTCTTAAGTTGCGTATAGCACCATGTCACTTCCTTGCTCTGAAACATTCAATGTTTCTTTATTGCCCATAGAACAAAATATAAAACTGTTAGGCTGACATCTGGCTCCATAATTCTACCCAATTTGGGTAGAGCACAGAGTACATGGAAAAGATTAATATGACACAAAGAAAGTTTGAGTGGCACCAAATTGTAGTGAGCCTTTAATGCTGAGCCTTGAAACTAAGGAGTTTAAAAGTTTTTCTTGGGCCTGGAGTTACTAAATCACTGAAATCTCAGTTTTGTTGGTGCATAAGTAAGTGATTCAGGGTAGACAGTTGTTGGAAGGTAAGCTCAGGTTGACACACTAAGCCTGTCTAGTCAAAGGGCTCTGTACCTCCTTCATATCCTCAGTCAAACCCAGAAGGATGTAACAAGGAGAGCACCTAAATTTGACTCCTCCTCTTCTTTCCTCCTCCCATTCTTCTTATTACTCCACCCACACCATCTCTCTTATTTTCAACTCCAGGTTTGGCATTCTTAAGCCACATATCTTCTTCCAAGCCCTGAGCTGAACTTCCAGGATAGAAGGGTAAGTGTTCTTCCCTGAATTTCTCTAGGATGGGAGCAAGTTTTCTATCCCACCAAAAAGATAAGTGAGGGTTGGGAGTGGTGACAGAGAACGCTGGCAATAGGCAAGAAGACACTATCCCTATCATTGTTACATGGTTTTCTTACAGAAGAAGAATTTGACTTGTCCAGCTTTACTCTGGAAGACAAAACAAAGACCATTGAATGAAAGATATAGGGAAGTAGATGTGAGCCTAATGCAAGGAAGAATTCTTTATCACCTAGAACTGTCCAACAATGGACATAACTGGGAGTTCCTTGTCCCTAGAAATGTTTCAGAAGAGGCTGGAGGGCCACCTGTTAGGGACACTGTAGAGATGATGCATGCTCCTGACTCTAAAATTGCATGATTCTGTCATGTTCTTTGCATGACAGGGCACAACACCAGATGACCAATGGTAATCAGATGGATGTGTGTATCCATGGGGGCTGGAATGGGATGTGTGTGTGTAACATATGGAGAATATGTGTGCTAAAAAGGGAGGGCTAGGGGCTGATCTTTTTGTCTTTTGTGTTTTCCTCCCTGTCGCTCTAATTCTCTCAGTTTCTCTGCTGTTTTCTTAACTTCAAATCATCTCAGAACTCTTCAGTTAAGATTCAGATTTTTTTTTCAGTAGCAATAAGATGATATCACAGTTTCTTCTCACATAACTAGTTAGAGGCAGGGTCATGATTAAAACATGACTCCGAGTCCTATTCTTCTCCCACAATTTCATGCTGATCTAAAAAATGATTCAAAAATATTTAAGCACACCTACTGGTTCTGAGTGCAGAATACTATGCTAAATGCTGGCAGAGAGACAAAATGCAGATAAGATTCAATCTCTGACTGTACAGATCCAATGGAACATCAGTCTAATTTATATGTGGATTGTCTCAGCCAGACTGCCTTTTCTCCCTTCTCGTTTCTGTATTTAGCCATGAGATCCATATACTCTCCATCCTGGCAGCTGCATCAACTTTGATGCGAGGAGACCTGGGTGTTAGAACACAAGACAATTATCTTATCCTTGTATATAGGACAGAGATACAGGCTAAATGATGGTCCAATTAAGTTTATTTGAAATAATTGAATAATAAAATGCAAAGGATAATCAGTAATGATTCAGTCATTTTTGATGTCATTTTCTCTAGTAGATCTGCCTAGGGAATCTGTTCTTGTTCCTATGCTGTTTAGGATTTTTATCAGTGACTTAGATAAAGACAGAGGTGAAAAAGATAGCTAATACACTTTATAACAGAACTAGCACCCCAAAAGATAATCATTATCTATAATGCTGGGCTGAAAATAATAAGATAAAATTTAATAAAGATTAATCAAAAATCTTATACTATTATTGAAAAAGAAAGAACAACTCATAAGGAAATAATGGTTAGATATATAATATTTTGTATATAAGTGGTTTAGTGGATGCAGGCTTAATATGAGTCATCTTTTTGATATGGCAGTCAAAAAAAAAAGCCGATAAGGTCATGGGTAGCATTGAGAAGAGAACAGTTCTAGTACCCAAAACAATGGAGGATTTAGTTTTACTGGCCTCTACTATGGTACTAGGGCATTATATTCCATTCTGGGTATGCCACATTTTAGGAGACTTTGACAAGCTGGAGAAAAATCTGGAAAGACCAAACAGAATGGTGATGGGCCTAAGCATCATGCCGTAAGAGCATCTGTCAAAAGAACTGATGTTTATGTTTGTAAGCATAAGCTGTTATGTTTAACATGGAGAAAAGCAGATTCAGAGGGAATATAATAGCAGTCTCTTTGCATTTGAAGGGCTCTCATATAGAAAAGTAAAACATTCTTCTTGGCCCAGAGATCAAGATTAGGAACAGTGGGCAGAAACTTCAAAGAGATGAATTCCAGGGAAACTTACTACTGTAAGACACAGGAATTCCACCAAAGCGGAAGAAAAATAATGTATTCCTTTTCATTATCAACCTTCAACCACAAACTAAATGCAAACTCATCAGACATATTGTCAAAGAAATTTGTGTACAGGTATGGGTTAGATTTAATAGCCTTTGGTCTGTTTCTACTTCTGAGATTATTCTGTAAAACTCTAGAACTGTTTTCACACTGTTTCACACGTGACTAGCTATGGTTCCACCCATATCAATACATTGTAGATGTACATACATTCAACAGTGTCATTGGGATGGCTGATGGCAGATGTGTTTCACTATCCCCACTGCTCCCTCCATTCCACTTATTGCATCCTGAACTTCTCTGCTGTGCCCTGACTAAATTTATATGAAGTGGAAGGTTGGCCTAATGAAGACAAGGCAAAAGAGGAGAAAGATGTACCAGAGAGGAATGCTTTTAGAGGGAGAAGAACCAGGAGAGTGTAGTAGTGTCAAAGTTAAGGAACCAATAAAGTGGATTTTTTTTTTCAAGGAGGAGGTTGTCAACTGTGCTAAATACTGGGGAATAGTCAAGGAGAATGAGCACTGATAAAGTGATTATAGGGTCATTTATAACCTTGGGGACTACAATTTCCATGGAAATAGAGTGCAGAGGAAATAGCCAAATTGTAGAAGGGAATTAAGAAGAAAACAGATGTAAATGAAGTAAAAAGGAATATGTGCACACACACGTACACACACATACACACACAGACACACACACACACTATCTGCTGTGTCCTGGGGGGACTGATTATTTATCTTGGGTCATAGATCATAGATCTAGGACTGGAAAGGATCTCAAAGGCCATTTAATCAAAGCCCTCATTTTAAGATGAGGAAACTGAGGCCCAGAAATATTAAATGAACTGAGCAAAGTCAAATGGTTAATAACTATCAGAGGTGGAATCTGAATCCAGGACTTCTGATTTGAGTCACTGCCCTTTTCACTTTTCTTTCTTCTGATATATGCATTTTGGGCCTGATTCACAACCTGTTTTCTCAGCTCAGTTGCCCAGGTGTCTAAAATTGTTCTGGGCTTGTGATTAAGGTAGCCCAACCAAGAACTGCAGGGTTTTCTGATCTCAGGGCCCTATTCCTCTCTCTTCCCAACTCCCATCACCACCCCATACAGGTAGTAACAGATTTGATATTTGAAAATAGAACTTCTTTTTTTGAAATTTTATTAATTTTATTTTGATTTATCAATAATCACTTCCATATGCTTTTGAGTTGAACATTTTTCTCCCCCTTCCTCCCCATCATCCTCCCCAAGATGGTGCACAATCTGACATGGACATTCACATTCCTATTAAACATGTTTTCACACTAGTGGTGTTGTAGTAAGTAAAAATTAGAATCAATAGGAGGAACCATCAGAAAGAGGAAACAAAACTCAATAGAAGAGAAAAAATGGCAATTCAATTTTCATAGTTCTTTCTTTGGATGTGGATAGCATTTTCCATCATGAGGGCTCTGGAGATGTCATATATCCTTGTATTGCTGGGAAGGGTTAAGTTTATCAATATTAGTCATTGCACAATGTGGCTATTATTGTGTACAACATTCTCTTGGTTCTGATCATTTCACTCAGCATGAAAACAGAACTTCTGATGTAAAAATCCAATTCCATTTCAGGTAGTAACATGTTGTATCTTTGTTAATGATGTCATTTAATGATGTTACCAAACTGAGTCTTTGCTTCTCTCCCTATATCAGGTGAAAGCCATGGAGCTGAGTCTCTCACAAGATTATAAGTGTTTGGTGAAAGGGTTGAACACCTGGGAGCTACCAAGTGACCTCATCCCTTCTGAACTCCTGATTATTAGTGAAGCTTCCTTCCCAGTGCTGGTGAATAAAAATTACCAGGTGCTCATTGCTGCTTCCCACTATGGTCAGGGCCGTATAGTGGTCCTGTCACATGAAGGCTACCTGAAGGATGCCAAAATGGCTCCCTTTCTCCAAAATGCTGTGAAATGGCTTGGGCACTGCGAAGGATATACTGTTGGAGTGCACACATCTGTAGAATGTCTGGCTAGTATGCTCTGTGACACTGGCATTGATGTGCAGAATGTTCACCACTTTCAGGACTCACTGAGGGTTTTCTGCACTGATGCCTTTGACAGCACCTATGCCAAACAGCTGATTCAATTTGTGAAGAATGGTGGGGGATTACTCATTGGAGGCAATGCTTGGCAATGGGCAAAAGAACATGGTCACAAGGTACTAGGCGACTTCCCTGGGAACCATGTGACTAGTGTGGCTGGCATATACTTCACTGAAACCCAAGCAGATGCCAGTTCTCTTAAGTTCTATACGAAGATACCCAAGACTCCCATCTTGGTCAAGTAAGTATAATCCCCCAAGAGAAGTTTCTGCACCAGGTGTAAGTCAAGTTATGCACTAGTCCCCATCAAGCTTCTAGTCTTTGAGAGGAGAGATGCCCATAGGCATGAAACTGGTTTGAATCAACTATATATTTAAAAAAACAGCCAGAGAGAAGGAGATATCAAAGATTTTCTTGCCAAATGAACAAGTAGGTTGAGTTCATCCAGCAAGGTTACTTCTACTAGATTACTGCTTCTCTTTGAAAAGAACTAATCTAGTTGGTAAAGTGAGATAGTGATTGATAGGTAGCAAGTCAATAATTTCCCCATATGAATAACCATGGAAAAAAGCTGTACAACTTCCCTGAGAAGCAGACAACTTGGTGGGACATAAAGATTCATCAAAATCTTTCAGAAAATCCTTCTGAGGAAGCAGCACAGTATGATGAAAAATCATGAGATTTTAAGGCAGAGAACCTGAGTTTGTGACCCAGTTCTGCTGCTTACTAGTTCTCCAACCTTGGGCAAATCACTTCATCTGCTGAAGCCATAATTTCTTCGATTGTAAATACTAATAGTGCTTTCAGGTTTGCAGAATGCTTTACAAATAGTATCTCATTTGATCATCTCAAGCCTTGGCAGGTGGAGTGGGGAAAATTCTATTATTGCCCTCAGTTTTATAGATAATGAACTGAGGCAGGCAGAGATTAAGTGATGGCCCAGGGTCATACAGCTACTAAGTGTCTAGGGTCATTTTTGAACTCAGGTTCTTCCTAGCTCCAGGTCCAGAGATCTATTTGCCACCTAGCTGAAAATAACCAAAGCTGCATTGATTCTCTCATAGGATTGTTGTGAAGAAAACACCTAAGTGATAAAGTCTTAAATTGCTATTGAAAATGTGAGATCTTAATTTGAATTGATATTTTTAAAATCTACACAAGAAAAATTTCCCCAGAGAAAGGCCCAGAAAATGATCATTACTACTATGGAGTAGATAATCTAGAAGAAAGAGTAGTCATCCAGATTTATCCAGCACTTAGAAAAGTGCCTGGTATGTAGCAAGTACTTATAAAATAAATGCTTATTAATGGATCAATATTTCCAGAACTGGGTTGTAAGATTTGTCTGTAGGGATAAAAAACTGAAGAATGAGAGATGATCTGAAGATGAGACCACTGGTAAGTGAACAGGAGAGGTAAGTAGACAGATGAGTTAGAATTTCATAGATCCAGTGAGAGCAAGAGGAGTCTGTCCCAATATTACTTATCTCCTTTCACTCAGGAACCTTTTCCCTAGGAGGAAAGACGATGGAAGTCTCTGACCTAATGGGAAGGCAGAATGAGTCACTGAGATGAGTTCCAAATATAATGGCGTAATTGGTGGAATTTTCTGCTCTGGAGATCTAAGCATCCATTAGGGCTGATAATCTATAGGGTTATCAAGAGTCAAAATTGACTAAAAAATGAACTTTGATTTGTCTATGATTCTAACCTTAAGAAAAAAAAAACAAGGTATATCTATGTTGTTAGGATTATACCTAAGTTTTTAAATTTTTTTTTTCCCTAAAATCTAGTATACAGTCTGCCCATCAACAATATTTTGTTAAGTGCTTTCTATGTGCTAGGAACTTTTCTAAGCCCTGGGATACAAAGAAATGTGAATGCATGGTCCCAGACCTCAAGGAGCTCACATTCTAATAGGAGAGCCAACATGCAAATAACTATGTATGTACAAGATATATAGAATGTGCCTTAAAGGTAATTACAGAAAGAAGGCATGGGAACAGGGGTGAAAGGGAGAGCGAGACCTGAAAAAGACCTCATAAAGAAGGTGGAATTTGAGCTAAATCTTGAAGGAAGCCAAGAAGCTTAAGTGAGGAGAGCCCCCTTCTCTCCTCTCATACTGTTACCACCCTGATGCAGGCCTTTATCACCTCACATCTGTAATATTGCAATAACCTCCTGATTTGGCTTCCTTGCTACAAGCCTTTCTCCATTCCAGTCCACATCATCCACTCAGCTCTCAAAATTATTACCTCCACAAAGCTCAGGTCTGACCATGGCACACCCCATTCAATAAACCCCAGTCAAAAAGCAAATTGTTCTTACCAGATGGGTACTTCAAGCAGGTTTATAATATCAAAGTTGACTGACAAGAAGCTGATTACCTTATCTGTAATGTCCAATATGGATACCTAGTTGTCCTGTTCTAAATCAAAATATATTAAGCAACCTTCAAAAAAGTCAAATGCTATCTTCTGGGTTCTTATCTGTTTTGAGGAAAATATTTTAAAGATACCAGGATTATTTACAGAACAGATTGAGAAATTTGAGAAGATAACTTCCTCTAAAGAACAAGAAGCTACCAATGCAATTAGTACCTGGGCTTGATCGCTGCTCTCTATTATTAATTTTTAAGTAAGTGCCTAATGCCACATGATGGCATAAGAAAGTTTATAATGCTTACATAACAATGTTCCAATAATTTGTTTATTATAATTTATATCCATGAGTAATGTGCAGTTTTCTCAGTTTGGTGAACCTGTCAGTGTGGAAATTTCATCCACCAATACAGAAAACTGGTTCCAACTGGAAGCCATTTAGTTCAACCTTCACATTTTATAGATGAGGAAATGGAGGCTTAGGGATGCTTAATATTATGTGAGTTTTAAGCAGCGGAGGTAGTATTTGAACCCAGGTCCATTGACACTAAAGTCACTGCTCTTTCTACCCTGCCATATCCTAGGAGTTAGTTGCCTGAGGAACATCAGGGTTAAGTGGCTTGCTCAGGATCACCTGGCCAATAAACAGTAAGGTGAAACCATTGAACCTAAACTCTAAGTCTTTCTCTCTCGATATGATGTATCAGAGATAGGGTCTTGCTGCCATAAATAAATACAGGGTCATCTTCCAGTTATAATGAGGCAAGCAGGATAGCACTTAAGTGGCAGAAGACTTACCTTCACAGTAACCCTGGGAAATAGACACCTGAGAGGAAGACAGATGATCTGTTTGTTCCCTTCAGAATTAAAGGCACCAAGGCACACAGTTCCCACTGTGGAAGTTTTAGGCTTGCTTCAGCTCTTAAAGAGGTTCCTCTACTATAGAGGAGGTGATTTTCCCACTGTACCTGTTCAGTCCTTGGTACCACATTTTGTTTGGAGCCATTTTTATGGGTATTTGGAGGGGGGTTGGGTACCACATTTTAAGAAGGACATGGATGAACAGGGGGAGTATCCAGAGGAAGAAACCAGGATGATGAAAAGCTTCAAGTTTATGCTATATGAGGGTCAGTTGAAGGAACTGAGAAGTTTAGCATGGAGAAGAGATTTAGAGGATGTTTGATAGATGTCGTCAAGTATTTGGAGGGCTGTCACATAGAAGAGAGATTCAACGTGCTCTATTTGTCCCTAAAGGGCAGAGTGAAGAGCGATGGATGGCTACTGGAGTTACTTCCAGCTCTGACATTCAGTGATGCTGCAATTTTGAGTATAAAAAAACTGGGAATCCACTTTGACCCAAGCCTGAAAATGCAAAGGAAAATTAACCAATGTGTCCTTTGATTACAGGTCTCTGCACATAGGACTTGTTGAGTTATGATTTCTCCTAAAGCATTTTACCTCCTTCCCCACTCCCTTTTCTATCCCCCTCTAAGCTCTAAAAGGAAAGCAATCTTTTCCAGGTTTGGGGAGGAGATCTCCCAAGACCAGCACCAGCTGCTGGATGGAATCTCAAAGCTGGACCTCTCAGAGTGTGGGATTCTCTCTCCACTGTTGGTGCATGGAGCTTTGGCTTTCCCTCTTGGACTTCATCCCAACTTTGCCTGTGCTGTGGCAGGAGCTCGCTACGGCAGAGGTCGAGTGATAGTTCTTTCTCAGGAGGGCTTGCTCTTCTCCTCCAAATTGTTCCCTTTTCTGATCAATGCTGTTCACTGGCTGAAAGGAGACCAAACAGGCAGAATTGGAGTGATCCCTGAATGTGAAAACCTATTCCATAAGCTCACTGATAATGGCATGAAATGTAGTTTAGAAAGCAACCTGACTGCTGACATGAGCGTTTACTGCTGCATTGCCTATGATGACAGTAAGGCAAAGCAAATTCTGGAGTTTGTGGCAGAAGGAGGAGGGTTACTGATTGGAGGCCAAGCCTGGTCATGGTCCCAACAAAACCCAACCAAGTGTGTTTTGACTGGCTTTGCTGGCAACCACATCCTCAATCCCTTTGGCATATCCATCCTTAGTCAGGGTGTAAAGAAGGGCCTGTTGTTTGATTGTCCTGAGCCTGGGCAAAAAAGCTATCACTTCCGCTTAGCTATGGCCAACTTCTTTGAGGAGGTGAAAAATAAGAGTGGAAAGTTCCTGAGGCATTGGCAAGGGAAGCTCATCAAGGATTATTCAGCCTTCCTGTGGATATCTACGAGAGAAACCCCCATCTATGACTCTGTACATCGAATGTTAATGAAGGTGATAAAGAAAACTAAGCTCCCCATTGTCAACAGTCACGAACCTTTCTTCAAATACTTCTGTAAAAGCATTCTGCTCTGCCTGGCCTCTGAACTGGCCTATGTCAGAATGGATTTTGCTTCAGAAATCTACAAATCAGGGGACCCAACTTCCATCTTTCATTCATACTCATCAGCAGCTTCTGTCAACAAGGAGATGAATCTCACCAGTCACAGTAAGAATGGGTCATTGGTAGAAAGCTGAGATGGAGGTGGAGGGAAAAGGGGAGAGATGTTCATGATAGGAGAGGAAGAGGAAGAGAGGGCAGGGATCAGTTCATAGTGGATGCTGGGATGAACAAGGTAGTTAGATGACCCCAGAAGAACACCCCAAAGATATATCTGCCTCAATGGTGTTGACTCTTGGAGATCATTAAGGTCTGGATTATGCAGAGATGGTGGGCAGCATACAGGTGGGTAAAGTATGAAAATATTTGAGATTTGGAGAAAGGATGAATTGGGGACTTTAAGGGACAATGTGAGGATTTGGGATGGGAAGGGAAAATAAAAGAGTCACTTGTCCTCCTTATTTTCAGGTGGTGATATTTGGAAAAGCACTGGACTCTACCTCCCTGAAGGCTGTACTCTAAATATAAAAATACCACATTCTGCTTGCTTCTCTAAGTTAAAGGTAACTTCCCCAAATACCCTGTTGATATTTGGCTTATTTCTTCCATACTTCTATATGACTATAACCTGCCATTGCTCCTTCACTCCATGACTGTGAACACAATGAATGTGTACCCTACACTTTAAATGACCCACTGACTTACCTCCCCAACTACAACCTCTTCCATGGGGGTCATTTCCTACCACAACTGGTTCTCTCTTGTCTAGACCGGCATGACGTTTTTCTTTGTCTTTATAATCACCTGCAAATGAGATTCTTAGGAGAGTCATTCTTCAAAGACATAGACCATCACCAGGAGAATATTTGTGCTTAGAAAGTGGATTTTGTCAACAAAGATTAGCTTAGGATCCCTAGATGTACTGTATAATTTCCCAAATGTGTTGCAGCTCATCTGCCTCCTCTTTAGGTTGAGGCCTAGTTCATTCTCCATAGTAGGCAGTACCTATCCAACATATATTACTAACTCACTTCATTGAGTGGTGCTAGACCAACTACATGCCCTAATCAAGATAATCTGCAGTTTTCATCCACTTCATTTTTCCCGTGTGGAGTTCATGGTCAAGTGTTTTTTGACCATGGATTTTATTGAGGAGGATCCATTGTGCCCTGGGCTTGATTAAATCACCATAAGGTCATCCACCAATAAACGCATTTAAAGAAAATTTCACTCTCTGTGAATATGAGGAGGACATACATCATTCATGACAGTGGAAAAAAATTTGGTTAACATTTCTCCCTGCTTGCATACCCTGTTTGATGCTAATGATCCAAGTATCATTTGACAATGTTAACTCTGTAATTTCTACTAACAAGAAATCACTTAAGATTTGTACCAGATGCTTCAGACACTTTGTTGGATGAGAGGCTTTAAGATTGTATTTTATTTTTCTGAGTCTCAAACTGCATTCAAAGCTTTTGCAACTTGGCATAATCTGTCAAAGCATGTGGTCTTTTGGCATAGTTACTGAGAAAACACAAGTTGTCTACATGCCACCAGAAGGCATTGTTAAGTCTGACTTTGTGGAGGTTGAAACTACTTGGACATTTTTTCAAGTCTACTTTTTTCTTGAAGTGACTTGTTCCCCAGCTCTGCTACTCACTATTTGTAAGGAGATTAGTGGTATACAACTCCTCCTCTCACACACACACATACACACAAAGATATATACATATTTGTTAGATTCAATATGCTTCATATTTTCCCTTTCTGGCCACCCAGGTACAAATTGGCTGCCACAGTGATGACTTGACTGTGTATAATAAGACAGCCAGAGCACCTGTAGTTGTTTACCAACAATACTTGGATAAACCATATAACTCAATCTCCAGCCTCTGGGGTGGCCTTCTCTACATTATTGTGCCCCATGGCTGTTCCTTGGGAAATACATCTGTCAATTTTACTGGAGCTGTACCTGCCCCTTACTTCATACTTGGTAAGTAAAGATCTCAAGTGAGCCAAAAAGCAGACAGTCAAGTGGGAGTTATAAACTTGATAATAAACAAGTGAAAGTCATGGGTTGGTAAAGAAGAGTAACATGGGGATTTTGAAATGGGAAAGGTGTGGATCTATGCTTGACAGAGTGGAAAGGAGACTGTATTTGAAGTAGTCTCCTGTGGGACCAGGAATAAGTCACAATCTCTCTGGGCTTCAGCTCCCTTATTCCGAAATCACTAAAAGTTCACTAAGGTCTCATGCCAAGATCTCAAGACTGAGGGGAAAGGATGAGGGAGCACAATAAGCTTTTTGGCGTATGTTTTATGCCTGTGTGCTTTTTCCCTAATGGGGTACAAATTTCAAATTTGCCCAGCAGGTGGGGCAAATGAGGCACAGGATTCACAACTCCATGATCTCTGTTCCTAGGAAAGACATCAGTGGAGGAATGGAAGAATTCTATCCGCCACTATCCAGTGCCATGGGGGGAGTTACAGGCAGAGAGTATTATCTTGACAGTGCCAGCTGAAAAGCTACAACATCTAGAGAACCCCGAGCCAGTGCTCCACCTCTGGAATGAGATGACAGAAGCCATAGCCAAACTTGGAGGCAAGACCAGCCCCTTTCCTCGACATGAGAGAATTGTGACTGATGTGCAAATCTCAACAGGTAGGTGCTCTGGGGCCTTGAGTGAGTGAGCACTATTCATTCAATGAAAAGGTCTTAGTCAGCTGGTATGTGCAAGGCCTTGTCATGAGAATGTGAGGAAGGAAAACAGGTGAAAGAGAGAACCATACAGCCATAGATTTAGAGTTGGAAAGGATCAGAGAGGCCAGCTTGACCAACCTCACTTATTTCACAGATAAGGAAACTGAGGCCCACAGAATTAAGTAATTTGCCTGAAGTCACACAAGTCAAAAGTGGTATAATGAGAAAAGCTGAGTTCTCTGACCATAAACCTCTTTCCAATGGTCATCACTGTCTCCCACAGAGTGCAAAGTAGTACATGACCTCAAATTCAAATTGCACATTTATTTTATGTTATTAGTATGAAAACCAGACATAAAGCCAGACTAGGTTGTTGGAAAGAGTGCTGGATAGAAATAAGGAAACATGTTTAAGTCCCAGATCTTTTCCAGATAGGAATGATTCAAGGCAAATCACTTCCTTCTATTGAATCTATTTCTTTATCTATAAAATGAGAGGTGTTTGTTTAGACAATCTCTAAGGGCCCTTTGCATATATTTTAATGGCTTGTTATTCTAATTGTATTTTTACCAAAACCTAGAGGCTGTATAAGATATTTCTGGGGAATATAGGAATCTAGATATAGTTAGGGCAAGTGGGAAATGGAATGCTCATGAAGTGAAATCCTTGGGATAAGGTACATTCTGTTTTTAGAAATGGAACAATTTAGTTAAAAGGACAAAACATATACATTTACTTAAATGATATATGACAATAAATTTCATAAGGTAGTATGATCAAATAAGTGGTACAAATACTCTTTCCCTCATTTGGTCTTCCCCTTCTCACCTCCTAAATGTAGGTATTTTCCAAGATGTTGGCTTAGTTCAGGGGTGGGGAACCTGCAGCCTCAAGGCCACATGTGGCCTTCTAGGTCTTTGGGTGCAGCCTATTAACTGAGTCCAAGTTTTACAGAACAAATCATTTCATTAAGGGGATTTGTTCTGTGAAGTTTGGATTCAGGCAAAGGGCTGCACTTAAGGACATAGAGGGCCACGTTTGGCCTCGAGGCTGCAGGTTCCTTGCCCTACTTCTTCTCTCTTTTCTCTAAAAACTATCCCTTGACAATCACTTCCAGTCCTCTAGCTTCAGTTACAACATCTAAGCAGAAGACTTCCAAACAAAAGTCCATTAATATCTTGTCCAGCTCTAGTCCCACATGTCTAATTCTCAAGTGGGTATCTCTAAATGAATGTCTACTGATAATTCAAAGGCAATGGTTGAATAACTAATGTCATCATCTTTCCCCCTAAATCTTCCCTTCCTCCTAATGTCCTCATTTTTGCTGATGAAAACACATTCCCCCAGTCAGCCCAACCTCAATATCTTAGAGCTTTAAAATGTTAAAAATCTTAAATCTTACATGTCTTTGACTCTTCCCTCTTCAACACCCAAACATCCTATGAAGTTCCAAGCCATACCAATTCTTCCTCTACAATATTTCTAAGATCTGTTCTCTCCTCTCCACTCTTCTTCCTAGTCCAGACCCTTATCACTTCTCAAAAGAACTGTTTTAAAAATTTTTTTTGGCTGGACTAAGTGACTTGCCCAGGGTCACATAGCTAGTAAGTGTCAAGTGTCTGAGGCCAGATTTGAATTCAGGGCCTCTTGACTCCAGGGCCAGTGTGCTATCCACTTCAAAAAAACTATTTTAATAGATTCATAAATAAATTCCAAATAGATTCGCTGCCTGTAGTCCATCCCCTTTCTAATTCATCCTTCAAACTAATGCCCGAGTAGGTTTCTTAATATACCACTCTAAGTATGTCACTCATATGCAAAATCTAATAAGTTCAAGATCTCAGATGTTCTAACAGAGATTATCCTGAAAAAATAGGAACATTCTCAGAAAGTTCTGTCAAGGACACTGCAATCTCAGAATTGGTGACAAATCACAAGATTCCATAAGGCTTTTTTGAGTTAGAAGGGAGCCTTTTAGCTTGCAAATGTAAAAACTGAAGCCCAGAGAAATCAAGATGATACCAACGATGGATGGCAGATCACCCTTTCCTTGGTGTTCTCTGTGTATAAGATCCTGGACAGTTTATATCACAGGCTGAAGAATGAGATTTCCCTGGGGATTCATACAACAAAGGGAAATACAAACCCAGCACACAAAAGCCATATTGTTCTGCCATTAAGAGATCTTGCCTGGTTCTCTTGTTTTCCCTCCCTCCCCAACACTTTGACTTGCAACTAGAGTATAATGGATCAACCAAAACAAAAGCCAAGAGGTTCAAGCTCTCCTTTATTTGCTGTGTTGCTTACAGGCAACCTTGGAATGAGGGAGAGGTTGGTGTTCTCTACTGCCAAGAGCTGCTGCCCTTCTGCCTCACATATCAGCAGCCCTGACTAACTTGGAAACCAGAAAGGCCATTGTCCATCAAATAGACTAATACATAAATTATGTTGAAGTAGAAAGTATACAATAATATAGTCTTTATCCTAGAATTTAAGACCCTTAACAATCTGGCTCTAACTTTCCTTGCTAGCATTATCTCATACTAATCTCCTTTACAAACTCTAATTCATTATTCCATGCCTGGAATGGGGAAAAAAAATCCTCCCTCCTTCTATACCTGACAAAATGATACCCTTCCTTCAAGATCTAAATCAGGTGTCATTTCTTCCATAGAACTCTCCCTGATCTACCCAAGTGGAATTGCTCTATCCTTCCTCAAACTAATTTTTGTTCTTAACACTTTTGATACCTTTATTTAAAGACATGTGACGTCCCAAGGATTCTCTCTCCAATAGAATCTGTTCTTGTAACAGAGTGCAGCTAAGCAAAACAAAACAATTTGCCATGACCTGCTATGCCATATTTAACTATTGTAACTTACTTAACAACATATACTTAATTTTGTAGCAGTAGTCTACTCCCGTGCTGGCAAGAAGAAGGTAATTTTCACAACCAGTTCTCTGAAGTAAAGATTAGTTACTATTTTCATCAAAGTTCTGGCATATCTTTCAGTCATTTTTTACTGTTTTGTTGAGATCATTTTGTAGATTGATTCTTACTGCTTCATTCTACATTAATTCATATAAGTCTTACTTTTAAGTACATGCAGATAGTTTCTTTGAATCCTAAATATTCATCCTTTCCTGAAACAAAATAATATTCTATTACATTCATACACCAAAATTTGTTCAACCATTCTTGTATTGATAGGCACTTTGCTTCTACTTTTCTGCCTCCACACAAAGTACTGCTATAAATATTTTTGTATGTATGGAACATTTCCTCAGTCTTTGACCTTCTGAAGACATATGTTCAGTAATAATGATATCATTGGTTACAAGAGTATTTAGAATTGAGTGACCCTTCCAACAAAATTTCAAGTTGTTTTCCAGAATGTTCAAACCAATTCCCATCTCTGCCAATTGTTCATTAACTATGCCTATCTTTCCACAACCCCTACGGCATTTACCATTTTCACCTTTTATATTTGTCAGTTTTTCAATTTGATAGATGTAAAACCGTTTTAATGATCATTCCTCTTATTATTAATGGTCTGGGTCAGGGCTGGGGAGCCTGTGGCTTGCTAGGTCCTTGGGTGCAGCCTTTTGACTGAGTCCAAGTTTTACATAACAATTTCTCTTATTAAGAAGATGTGGCCTGTGAAGTTCGGATTCAGTCAAGAGGTTGCACTGGAGGACCTAGAGGGCCATATATGGCTTCAAGGCTGCAGATTTCCTGCCCGTGGACTCTGAGCATCCTTTACGTAGCTATGGCTAGTTTGCATTTCTTCTTCAGAAAACAGCCTACTTCTATCATTTGAGCACTTGTCTACTTGATGATGACCTATCAGTTCCCTATACTGTTTACTTGGATATCTTTGGTTAAAGGTATTTGCTATGGAAATTTAAAAAAAAAAATCAACAGCTTTCTTTTCCAAGCTGCATTAATTTTGTTCATTTGAAAGGTTTTTAGAATTTAGATAATCTATTTAAAACAATGTGATGTCATAGATAGATAACTGGCCTTAAAGTCAGGAAGATATGGGTTCCATTCCCATCCATGACACATGCTAGCTCTGTGATGCTGAGCTAGTCATTTAATCAGTCTATGTTCTAGGTCACTTTGTAAGACAGTAAGTTACAGAGAAGGAACTGGTCTTTCTTGGTAGAATAAATTACTTTCTGGGAATTCCCTATATACATGGAATCATAAGTTTGGTTTTAAATATGTACATATATATATATTATAATTATATAAATTATGATCACTTCTATCCCTTATTTGGCTAACAATTTTACTATCAGCTATAGTTGACCTTCCTCAAAATTTTCACAGAAAATATGACATCTCTTATACATGTGATTTAATCTGTCTTATATCATTATTATTTCTGTGCAAGTCTTATTCTCAATATTAGATTATTTAGCTCCTTGAGAAATGTCTCACCTTTATATTCACAGTATCTAGCTCACTAATTCACACAAAATGGTAATTAACAAATGTGGGTTTAAAATGAATAACTTGGAGATAGGTGGGAAGAGAGGTTTTTTATGTGAGTTCTAACTCCTTTTTCCTTCTCGGAACCTAGGTTGGATGCATTCAGGGTACCCTATCATGGGCCACCTAGATATTGTGGATTGCCTGCTCTCTGAAGACAAAATAAGGAAAAATGGCTTATGGGTCCCCCTCCAAGAGCTAGGACGTAATCAACAATGTAATGCCTGGGAGTTCCCCCACCATACCACTGATGCCACGTGCAACATCTGGACTGTCTATGTGCATGAGACAGTTCTGAACATCTCCCGTAATGATGCACACCCTGCATTGAAGCCTAAAGAACGGCAAAAGAGATTAGAAGAATATCAGAAAAATGGGGCTTCCTTGTCAAAGTGGTATGGTTGGACAGCCCTGGAGACATATCTGCAGGTACTAGACATTAATGGAGTTTGCAGGATAGGAGACAGAGAGCCCTCAGTTGAGAGAAGAGTCTCACATTTGTGTTCAATTTGGTGTCCCTGGAAGATTTCCTCTTTACCCAGTCAACTAGGTCGTGCAAATGATATTTGGTCTTGTACAGGTTTGAATCTGTTGCATGTTGCTGACTACCTCTTTGTGCCTCTGGAACTAATGACCCCAGACCTGAATCCCCACATAGTGAGATATATCAATAAATAGATGGAAAGTAGTTTGAAAAGTCAGAGGTAGAGGAAGAGTGCAGGTCAGGGAGAGATCGAATAGGTAGGTAGAATAAAAGGATCTGATGAGTGCCAGTGTTATATATAGTGGATATAAAATGGAGCTTCTAGTCAGGAAGATCAAAGTTCAGGTTCTACTTCTGATACCTCCAAGCTATGCGATCCTAGAGAAGTCACTTAATCTCTCAGTGCCCACAGAGAACTGTTTGAAACTATAAATTGAAGAGTACTTGAAGATTTGCATTATAATCAGATGTTTTCAGTTGATTACAAATATCCTGAAATTTTTAAAGAAATTTTACATCCTTACTTTTTACTCAAATATGAGAGAGCACCAGTTTAATTATATAGTAAATTAGTCGAACAACTATCCCTAATCATGAAATCATTGGCTTTATTCGGCAGTGTCTTAGTTTCCACATTATTATGTGACTTCTCTGGAGGTATTCATTGAGGTGGGCCAGAAACCTGATCTGCGTGGTTCAGAGAGTTGCTAAGAAAATTTCAGGCATAGGCCTAACAACCCTCAGGAAGAGAGTCCACAGAATATGGAAAAAATAGCACTGAATTTATAGTCAGGAGACCAGGCTTTGAATCCTAGTTCTGTCAGTTACTACCTAATTGATCTTGGACAAATCATTTAACCTCTCTAGACCTCAGTTTCCTCATCTGTAAAATGAAGATTGTTTAGAGCTATAATTCTATGATTATATGGATGAGGTAATCTTGGGATCACCATGAGGGCTATAGTCACCTTAGACTCCAGGAATGATATACAGAGCAAAAAGGCACCATTCAGAATACATCACCTGACAAAAGCAACAGGGTGGATAAGACAATCAAAAGATGTATAGGAAAACCAGCACTCCCCATGAAGCAGATGAACCAGAATATTACTGTTGGCTTTTAGCCCATTCTAGAACTTCTTTGTAAGGAAAATTACTTGGAAAAGCAAATTAACATTGCTCAATGAACTCAATAAGGAAAAGAGAAATTGGGTGTCCTCAAAGGGTATTTTTATGAAAGCCTGATGAGCCATCCTTTTCCACTCAAGTTATGTGTATGTGAGTGAGTGTATGTATTCAGATAATATATATCTTCATATAATATATGCCTCTAGTGATATATATATATATATATATATATATATACACCCATATATATACACAGATTTATATACACAGATATATCTCGCAATACATATGCATCTCTCATTAGATACATATATATGCATGCATACATACATACATACATACACACACACATAGATGAAAGAGAGAGAGGAGAGAGAGAGAGAGAGAGAGAGAGAGAGAGAGAGAGAGAGAGAGAGAGAGGGAGGGAGGGAGGGAGAGTCACCAATATACCAGATGTTCATTTAGTCAGTTCAGGGAACATTCTTACACTCTGCTGTTGACAAGGCTAGAGACATACATAAAGTATCTTGCCAGAGCCACCTTTTCAATATTCCAATTTTCACAATATTTTCTCCAATATTACCAACACCTTTGCTACCACAAATTCTATATGTGATTGCCTTAAGGAGTACTTTCTGAAACTGCTATCCACTTCCAGAGAGAGAACTAATAAATTCTAAATGCAAATTAAAGCATACATCTTTTATTGTTTTATTTTGTTCATGGTTTCTTTTGCACATGGCTAATGTACAAATCTGTTTTGCATGACTTCACATGCATAATCCTCACATTGCTTGCCTTCTCAAAAGGGTGAGGGGATAGGGAGAGAATTTGGAACTCAAAAATTTTTTAAATGATTGTTTAAAATCTTTTTACAGGCAATTGAGAAATACTTAATGAAAGTTTTTTAAAAAATTTTAAAAAATACTTTCTGAGAAGAGTTCCATCCCTAATCTATGAATTCCTTTAGGTCTAGGCACCTTCTCATACTCTAGTTTCTGGGGGGAAAAATTGAGCAGTAATGTAGGATGTCATGTGCTTGAAAGGCTGATACTGAAAAGCAGTCATCAGCATATTCAACATAGATTTCAGTGTTCCAACAACATTTATCTAGATATTGCTTCATTGTATATAGGAAGGAGGGGAACATGGGTCAAGGTAAAGGAAGCTCATAAGTATATCCAAAATGAATTCAACAATATCTCTGTGCTGAGTTGCCTGCTGGGAACTAGATACTTCATCCTGCTCTCTCTTCCTTTCAGCTACAGGAAGCTTTTGGCTGGGAGCCTTTCATCCAAGTCTTCAAAAAGTATCAACAACTGTCTGGAGTGCCTGGGGACAATGACAGCAAAATGAATGTGTGGGTGATTAAATTCTCTGAGCAGGTGCAGAAGAATCTGGTTCCTTTCTTTAAGGCCTGGGGCTGGTCTGTTCAGAAGGAAGTGGCTGCTACCATTGCCCATCTGCCTGAGTGGAAGGAGAACCCCATGAAAATGTATTGCCATGAGAATTAAAGAATGGCCTGCAAGCCTGGGATGTGCATATAAACAGATACTCCAGAAGGTCCAGTTTTTAATTCTTTGCCTTTGGCCCTTTAGTCCTTTGTGAAACCAAATTGTTATAGAGAACAAGGACATTTTCTTCCCATTTTTTTCCACAGATAAAAGTTCAAGACATAGCCCAAAAATGGTACCAAGATTTCTCTCCATGGGGATATTTGGGTGGCTTTCATGGGCTGTCCACCAAATTCCTTTCTAATAGATAGTCTGGGTACTCTATAACTAAGTAAAGAAGCTTGGTTATGATTGAGGTCCACCAGTTTTGTTTCACTGGAGCAAATGACTTTCAGAGATATGAGGATTCTTTCTGGACTTTTCTTTTTGACTAGATATCCTAAGAGTTCGGGTTAGGATACTAAACTGAGATGCAAATTTAGTGTAAAAGAAGAACTTTGGGGCTAGATAGAGCACCCGACCTGGAGTCAAGAGGACCTGAGTTCTAATCTGGCCTCAGACACAACACTCACTAGCTGTGTGACTCTGGGCAAGTCACTTAAGCCCCATCATGAAGAAGAAGAAGAAGAAGAAGAAGAAGAAGATGAAGAAGAAAAACTTCACCTTTCTCTTCATCTTAGATAGTTCATCCCCAAGCTCCACCAGGCTCCACCTTGTCCTATACAGTGGCAATCCTCTTATTTCTCACAAAAATACTTGAAGTGACACTTAGAGCTCTGATGCCCCTTCCAACTCAACTCCTCAACAGAGGTGTGCCATGACCTGATCTCTGAAGAAATCTAGAGCTAAACCTCTTATAGGCCAATTCTTTGAATTCAATTTATGTTGCCAATTGACCCAGAGTATGCTATCCTACACATGTGAGAGGTCTTTGCCATTGGAGAGGGAAAGAATTAATTTAACCTTTCTCAGCAGGTCCCACATTGGTGGAACTTTCTTAAATACAGAGAGGAAGAGAATGTTTATCACACCCTACCTTATGGCATCCTTATTTGTTTCTATGTGGTACATTTCCCTGGCTGTCTCCCATGCTTCAAATATTCCTCTTCCACTCTGTATCCTGGATTCCCTGGTTTCCTTTAGCTCTTAGCTAAAATCTTACCTTCCATTAGAAGCCTTTCCCAATCTCCCTTAATTCTAGTTCCTTCCCTCTTTGGGTTATTTCTAATTTTTCCTGCACACAAATTGGAAATAATTTGTATCCAGTTGTTTGTAGATCATTGTTTGCATGTTGTTTCCCTCCTTAAACTTTGAGCTCCTTTAAAGCAAGGGCTGTCTTTTGCCTTTCTTTGTATCTTCAGTAGTCAACACAATGCCTAGTGCATAGTAGGCAGTGAACAAATACTTATTGACAGACTAACCCTGTATGCTCTATGGCTGCCCTTTGTGAAAAACCACAATCATTGCAGGTTCAAAATTGTGAGTGAACCACAGGGCAATAGATTGACACATAGCAATTATAAATAGACTGCAGCCTGTTACCAATAATGTCTGGTGCATGCAGAACCTCTTAACTTCTCTGTGCCTCAGTTTCCTCTTCCATAAAATGAAAGGGTTGGATGCAACAGTCTCTAAGGTCCTTTCAAACTCTAAATATATGATAAAATGATCTTAAGTGGCCTAAAGAAATGTGTGAAAGAGAAGAGAGGTGGAATAATGATGAAGAAAGAGTAAGGAATAACCTGCATAGCCACAGTACAGTACTAGGTATACAGAAAATGTTTTTAAATGAAAAGCCTAGAGGAAAGTGTCCAATCTTTGTTTAAGATTTGTGGGAGGACATGGACAAGAATAGCACAGGATGAGAAAGCATGGATGGGTTATAAACACCATGCTGGGGGTGGGGGTAGGGTGCCCATGTCAATAAAATTATAGATGTATTCTCTCTATTGGGCTGAAAGCTCTTTAATTGCAAGGACCCTGTTTTTTTTTTTCCATCTTTGCATCCAGTACCTAGCATGCAGTATGTAATCACCAATTTTTACTGAATTAAAATGAAATTAAATGATTCTTTACTGCCTCCTTTCCTTGAGCCATCTTTCTCCCCAGGTCCCAAGGTCCAGTTCTTTCTTGGAGCTGAACACAATACATTTTTTTTTTTTTTGCTTAAAGACTAGGCAGCTACACTCCAGCTTACCAAGTCCATTCTTTCTCATAATAATTTGTTTTTCAAAACCATTTCTCTTGGTTCCAACCCTTCTATCCTATAGTCCCAAATACTCTCATGACTCATAGACATTCTTAAAAGAACTTTGGCACCTACCCCTAGCTACAGTGCTATCTGGATACCAGATCTCTTCCCCTCCTTCCCAATACTCTTTTTCCATGCAAAGAGGAAAGGTTCAGAACCATGCCATTCAGGTACTATATCTCTGAGGATTTCCTCATGGCTATCCCAAGATTTTGATATCACTGCATAGGAAATGAGCAGTATGAATTAGGAATGCACAACCTCTCATGCCAGCTACATAAGAAGAGAAAGTACATCTGCCTCTATGCAGCGACCTAGTACTTTGCCCCATATATCCACAACCCAAAACTCTTTTTCTCATCCTAAACACAGAAGTAGCTCTGAGGATCCACACTCAGACATCCTCACATTCAATCCCTCATTCTATTCCTTCTCTGTTCACCCTCAATAAAAACTCTAAAATCCATCCTAAGTATAATCAAGGGCTGGCATTTCAACCACCACAACAAACTGTAACGTGGGTTGCTTATTACATTTTTACAGCTCCTCCAGGTTTCTCTAGTACTTCAAAAGGCTTTGTGAGGTGTCTCTTATCTGCCATTGGCTACAGCCCCCACTAATTTTGTTCTCTCAGTGTTAGGGGTCCAACTACCACAATTTCATTTCACCACTTAACATTCATATTAGCTTTTACAGAAGAGTATTGACTTCAAAGGTATAACAAGAAAAACCATGCAAACATTTCCCGTAATACCTCAGGACCATAATCTTCCCTATACCACTCAGTCTCTAAGGAGGGCAAAGGGATTGGGTTCACAACTTAGTTTCTACATAGCATTAGTCCCACCAAATTCAATTCCAGCCTCTCCCCTGCACCACTCCCACATATGTTCAGGGACTCTGACTTCTCATAGATTCCCTTCTGGGTTGGCTTCAACATCTGGCAGGGAATCCTGAACTCCACGAACACCATAGCTTGAGCTCTTGGGTTGGGAGCTCCATTCTTCTTGCACCTAGAACTGAAAAGAACAAATGAAAGAGACCAAAAGCCAAAGCCTGAACCTTGGGGTCATATGTCCTAGGAAAAGGGCAAGGTGGACCTCAGGTCCTTCCCTATTTGCTGTGTGGTGCCACGTGATCTAATTAAAGGAGTTCTTCATTCCTGGATGCCATCAGAAAGACAGGGATTGTTCCAGTCAAAGAGTTTTAAAGACACAGGAAGTTCTGACTATGCAACCAACAGAAAGAGGCTACTCCCAGCTGTGTGGTAGGCCAGTGTAGAATGTCCAGAATGTCCCTCCTTAGACCAGTCCTCTTGTCCTCCTTTTTTCCCAGAAACAGGTTCCTAGCATCTTCCACATTGGGGCCTCCATCTCAGGTGATACGGACATGCACCAAATTCCATTACATTATGATTCTCAATGTCAAAAAAAAAATCTCAATAATCCTTCAGGAGCTCATTAACACCTGTGGACAATGGCATGACTTCTGCATCTTCCCTGTACTACTGTTCACTTTCCAATTCCCAGTTTAGAACTCAGATTTACTGTTGTCTTCCAAACAATCATTTACTATCAACCCACCTGAGTAAGGTTTTGGGGGAATTTTTAAGATGGTTTTTTTTTGATCTACAATTTCATTGGGGTAGGTAATATTTGAAAAGGAAACTACCTGACCTCTATAGATGAACACGTGCCTTGAAACTGAGAGTCTTAGAAAAATTCATAGAACCCTGAGTCATTGAATAGCTTGTCCAGGCTCATCCAGCCAGTATGTGTCAGAGGCAGGACTTAATACCTAGTCTTCTCAACTTTGAGCCCATCTATCCACCCTACCACATTGTAGAGCACTCCAAAATTACCCTTTCACCCTAAAAATCAGATCCAGTTTTTCTAAGCAGATCAGGCAAAGTTCATAACATCTATAAATCACCATCATCATCATCATCAGAGGCAGCTAAGTGGAACAATTGATAGGGTACTGGGCTTGGAGTCAGGAAGGCCTGAGTTCAAATCCTGCCACAGGCACTTACTAGCTGTGTGATCCTGGGCAAGTCACAACCTTTGCCTAACTCAGTTTCCTCCTCTACAAAATGGACATAATAGTAGTGCTTATCTCACAGAGTTGTGAGCTAATATTTGCAAAGCACCCTGCAAACCTTAGGTATTATTATTATGAACCTTTATATAGAGCTTTACTGTTTGAAAATCACTTAACATACATCACTTTATTTGATGCCCTTGTGTTCATAGCTATAATATTACTTTCTGAGTATTCTGTTCAAAGTATTAGCTAAATGTTAAAATTCACCAGAGATATATGATAAAGTACAGCAGGTTGGAAGGATAAGCAAGAAACTACAATCAAACAGAAAAATAAATGGTAAGATCTAGCTGATCTAGCTAGGGAGCATAGATCTCCTAGGAAGATTAAAAATCCATGGGGAAAAATGAGTGGGAAAAGGGGGAGAAATTAATAAGAAGAAAGTGTCTGTGGCACTATTTTTTCCCCTGAAGCAAGGGCAGATTCTGAAGAACCAATGAGGGACTATGGTTCTTTAGATGGTCAGGAGATTAGAGAAAGCTCCACTAGACAGGGTAGAAAAATAGATTGCAAGTAAGAGGAGAATGTAGACTTCTTAGACAAGGAGAGAAAAATCTGAGCCAAAATTGGGCTGGACATCAGTCAATGGACACATTCCATCCAACAATAATAGTGATAGCTAACATTGATTTTTAGTTCACAGTTTTCAAAATAGTTTCCAACCAATAATTCTTCCTATGGGATTAAGAGGGAATATGTGTACCAT